AGAGCCGTGTTATGGGTGACCTTATTGCACGGTTCAGAGAGCACTTGTGTATGTGATGCAAGTGAATGTGTACGAAAAAGTTGTCGTAAAGTTTCGTTGTTCGTTTCGTCGTCGACCCTATCTATGTTTCTACGATGGCCCAAGAACACGCTCATTCTTCAGCTGTAGAGAGACTTTTGAATTGCGAGGTACCATTACGAGCTCAATATATACGAGTGTTATTCCGTGAAATAAAGATATATTTTGAGAGAACTAAGAATAAAGAAGTAATGAAACTCCAAATGTTGTGAAAAATAAGGTGAAAGAAAGCTTATATTTATAGTAGCAGAGGTTAAGAAGTTACAAAAGCTTTTGAAATTCTAGAATTAATTATAATTAAAGAAAAAAATTATTGTTATATTGTAGGAAACTTTTTGCATTCTTCTAACTTTTCAAATTCTATACAATATTATAATTAATAATTAATAATTATTTAATATTTATAATAATATATTAATGCATAGTTTGTAAATTTGTAAAGTTAGTAGGGGACAAAGGTGTCAAAAAATGTTTTTCTTAGTCTTTACTTTTTAATATAGTATAGATTTGTATCTCATTGTTAATATATTATGATAAATGATAATATTGCATTAATCTTCTTCATTTGATAGCCAATAATATGCTAGTTTCTCTAAGACTTGTTACTCTGCAAAAGGTCATGAGTTAAATCAACAAACTTTCCATGCAGTTTTAACTATAATCTTCCCATATATATGTGAAAGAATCTTTTACTTTCTTCTGTATAGGTGGTGGAAGTAGAGGTAAATAGTATAAAACAAATAAGTGGAGTTCATATAAAAAAGTGCAAGTATAAACTCCATTTGGTTATGCTTATGGTTATCTTACATATATTGATATTTACCTTGATCACAATCAAAGGTACCTAGAGAACAGTAGGTGTGTTGGTATGTGTGTGAATATGTGCAAGATACTAATGAATTTGGTATCTTCACCAATGAATTTGGACTCTCTTGCTGTGGAGCAATGCTGGGAAACCGAGAACAAATGATGAAATTTGTCCTTGAGAAGAAATTTGGCTGATATGGAAGTAGATGAATGGGCTGAGCTGATACCCAGCTCCTAGAAGGCATTTTCATCTCAACCTTGAACGATAGGAGAAGTTAGTCCCTTGAATGTTTCAGTTTATTATCTTTCAAATCCCTCACCGAACACCTTAATCAACGGAATATATGAGGAGAACAGGTTGAGGGAGCTTTTCTTTGGCACCTAGAGGTTCCTAAAAAAAGTAAAAGTCTTTCTGGGCTGATGATGCATGGTAGGTTGAAGACCCACTGAATGCTCCAAAAACAAAATACCTCCTCTAAATCTATCCCCTAGTTGGTGCGTTTTATGTAAGAAGAGTGAGGAAACCATGTGACATTTGTTCTTCAATTGCCCTTTTGTGATGAATTGTTGGAAGGAGCTCCTCCAGATTTTTTTCAGTGTAAGCTGGTGCTGTCCAAATTGGGCCTCGGATGCGCTCTCGTTCAACTTATTCAATGTCCTCACCTGAAAAAGCATGCAAAGGTTCTGTGGATGTTTGGGGTGATTGTTTTGGTGTGGAGAATATAGTTTGGAAGAAATAAGAGAACTTTTCGAGGAGAAGAAACTGATAGGGGGATGTTTTGGGAAGTCGTTAAAATGTATGATACGACAATCTTTTATATATATTAATCCATCCAAGACGATACGACATGTCGACTGCCATTACCTGAAAATTGGCAAAGAAGCCCCCAACAGATTGACACTTCAAAATTTGTAATTTAGAACTACGAAACAATATTTGCTTGTTAAAAAATAAAAAGAAAGATCTTCTCTAGAAAATGCAGCTAAGCTAACAACGTGTTCTTCAAGTTCCATGGTTTGCCAAGCATCCGCCCTCCTATTTATAGCCCATCCATACTTGCTCATCAAGCAAAATTCTATGACTATAAATTTTACCACATATTGAACTCTAGTAGCTTGAGATTTCTATCTCCAAGGAGGCTCAAGGAGGCTTCTTGAGCAAGATTTGACAAACTACTTAACTTAATGCTTAACATGCCCCCTCAAGATGGTGCCTCTTTTGGGTTCACCAATCTTGGATCGGATCTCATTTTGGACCGAATGCTCGTTTGAGCTTGTGAGCTCTGATACCATATTAATATTCATGGGGTTCCATCTCAAAACCAATTGGCAATGAGAGGAGTAGCCCATGTCTATTTTAAACCATTGTTAGGTCCCTTCTTTTATCAATGTGGGATCCTTAACACAGCTGAGTTAGAATTGTTAAAGTATATTATTCTTTTTGTTTCTTAGGAAATTGTCAACTTCCATGTCTTTCTATTTGATCCAGTAGATAGAAAAACTTTTAGAACTCTATAATGACAGAGTTTTTAATAAATTACCTTTTTACTTCCATGTTCATGACATTTAACTTGTAGAATAAGAGAACTAACAATATATTTCCGATTTTTCTCTTGTTGCCTACTTGCATTTCACTGGCATGACTTAGTTCACGTCCAAAGCATGCCGGACATTCGAAATTATGGGGTTGGGTTGGATAGGACCAGACCCAATCGACTGATTTTTGTTATGTGTAGTGTTTCCTAATTTCTCTTGTTGGAAAATTAACGGTCCTATATAATTTTTCATTCCACAGAAATATCCAAACACAACAAAAAATTATACAAATAAGAACAAACTGTAAAAGCACAAGAATAACGACATAACAAATTATATTGGTTCAAGTACTGTTTAAGGATCAGATACAATAAACTCTACCAAACAAAAGTCCCTAGAGCTCCCAACGAAAGTCCTCTAGCTTCTAAGTATTTTAACACAATTAGTACTTAGGAATATGAATGAAAAACTCACAAATATAATCAAGATACTATACCCGAATAAAGACGATCTTGATCTCCCCAATTTATGATGCTAACACTCGAGCCGCTGCCACAAAAACTGCCGCAAAAAAGACTGCCAAATTTGTCCCAAAAATTCTGACGGTTGCTGCTTTAATTTTGTGCGACCACAAAAATTTGGCCTAACACCCACTTTTATTCTTCACGGGTGGGATCAATTTTTGATTGACTGCTGCAGAGCAAAAGTTTTGTTTTCAAACATAACCTAAACCTTGAAATGGCTTTATGATTAATGGCCAAAACATTTTCACTCCTTTTTTCTTTTATTATTTTACTTTGTATCCATAATCCCAATAATCTCCATGTGATTGACCAACCGTGGATATCTTACATCGCCAAGATACTTGTGAAATTGATAATTGAACAAGTGCAGGAAGGAAAGAAAGAATGGGAAGGGAGGATTATATGTGATGAGTTCTGCAAGAAAACAAAAAGGATATGGAGCGAAGAACAACCGAAGAATCAATATGCTATCATTGAGCAATATAATTCACCAACAACTCATATAAATGTTAATTCCAAGTTCCAATCAAGAAATATCAAACACCCCTACTTATTGGTCATAATCCAACAATTACACTCCAACCATTAAACTACTGTCAATCAATTCAAGAGCTTAAAYTTATGGATTACGGCAAATTAAACATTTTATAGGTAGCTTTTAACATAGGTTAATAAAGAATAGAATAGGTTAATATCAATAAATGAAGGTCAATCTTAAAGAAGAAAGTAAGAGAAACAAATATACTAATAACAATTTGCCTCAAGTAATACAGTGATAGCAAGCGTCACAGTTTCTTGTCTTGAAGTGAAATGTATTAC